CCTGTGGATGGTGGAAGCCACTGTGAGGTTTTGCACAGGGTGTGAGGTAGGGGTCCAGCTTCATCCTTTCACATGGGAATGTCCATATCTCCCATCACTAAAAAGCCTGTTTTTGCCCCTATTGCATTATCTTGGCCCCTTTGTTGAAATGAATAAATGTGAGGTACTACAGGGTTTTGAGAGAGGAGAGGCATGGTCAGCTCTGTGCTATTGAAAGATCAGTGGCAGAGACTGGGAAGGGACGGAAGGAGAAGGGGTTGAAGGGAGACTAGATGGGTGGGCTGGACCCAGGAAGGAGGGGGAATTGGGGAGAAAAGCTGTCCACTGATCAGCCTGGGGCTCCTGTCGGGAGCTGTGCCCTGAACCAAGGCCATGAGCTCAGCCAGCCTGGGCTACCCAGGCCTGCCTGTGGCACTCACCAGGGAATCAGAATGGGGTGCGCGAAGGGGCAGAGAGAAAAAACCTGTGCTCCTCGGCCCCTCAAGGTCCACAAAGTGGTAAACTTAAACCCTCTCCAGATACAGCCATTGCAAGGAGGTTTTCAGGTAACGAGAGGGTTGTAAAGGCAAAACATTGCCAATTACGGCAGCATTATCCCGGATTAGAAAGCTTCCAAGAGGCGGCTCACACCTCCAGGCATGTTGTGCCCGGAAATTTCCAGGGGAGGCTAGGGATCCAAATGTCTAGGCTGCCTGAAGCCAGGCCCCACAGTGTGTGCTGTCTGCTGGGTGGGCCCAGGTCCACCAACCTCTACAGACCTGCCTTCATTTCCCCCGCAAAGATAGACCGACTGTGGGGAAGAAGGACTCCCGCCCCACCCCCCTACAATTCTGAGCAATGTAAAGCTAACAGTGTATCTCTGGCAGAAATTTGTCCCTTCAAGGACTTCCCCAGCCCTGGGGGCACTGAGTCTATCTAAGACACTTTGTGCAAACCCCTCCCCTCTTCATCTGACCCATGGAGTCCGAAGGACCACACACAGTGAAAGAAGCCCAGTGCTGCCCCTTCTGGGCTATATGACCTTCAGCCTCTCTGAATCACAGTTTCTGCTTTGGTAAGATGGGGAGACAAGCCCCCCCCCCCGCAACACTTCGCAGGGTGTTTTCAGGATTAAATGAGAGAGTGCAGATAGAAGCCTTGAAGAATGGAAACAGTACAAACTCCGTGCGTGACTACTTGGCAGTGTCTGCTAAAATAGTAAATGTCCACACCCTGGGCCCCAGTGAGTCCTTTTCGTCATTTCCCACGGAGAAAGTTCTGCAAATTATGTCCAAGGATATTCCCTGCAGCACCTTCTGTGAGGCTGGAAATTGTAAACAACCGAAAAGGCCATTTATAGGGCCCTGGTTAAATTAGGATCCATGGGTACTGTGGAATCCTTTGCTGTAATTAAGGAGTCTGGCAGCTTCTGCACGCTGTCACAGGCAGATCCCCACCACGTGGGGCTGCATGAACAAAGCAAGCACAAACACCTACAGAATGATCCCATTTAAGCTTTCAGAACCCCGCACAAGCACTATCAATTGTCTATGTTCATATATATGCATATATGTATGTGAATGCAATGAAAACAGCCTGAAAAAAAAAAAAAAAACACACACCCTGATGACCCAGGGGTCGCCCCGGGAGGGGCCTGGGATGGAGGCTGCGACTGGCCGGAGCACCAGAGGGAATTTTACCGCCTGTGTAGCCTGCTTAGATAAACACACACAAAATGCCGAGAACAGAGAGTAAGGGCCTGACCGGCCGGTGGTCAAAGCTCACAGGCCGAAATTAGGACCACAGGTCAAGGAAGGAGCCTAGTAAGGAAGGGGACCCAGCGCCTCCTGCTGGTGCCCCCGACTCGTGGAGTCTGAATCTGGGTGTGAGGAAGCCCCTCAGGTGGGTAAGTGAAGTTCCCTGGCCTTGTCAGCCTGGCTGGGCTGGGGCCACAGCCCACCTCTCCTGGCTGAGCGGTCTGCCAAGGAAACTATTGAGCTACATAAAAATCCATCCTGGAACTCCCAGAGGCATCCTTAGAATGGAGTTCGCCTTTAAATTAGAATGTTAAAAAAAAAAAGAAGAAAGAAAAGGCAGATTTGCCCGTAGCCTGATTTCAGGCTAGTGAGGGCTGGTGGCCAAAACTTAGTGGCTGTGCTGGGCCGTGGCCCCCAGGCCATGGTCCTGCAGTACTGGCTGTGAGGGGGAACCCCAGCCCCACCGAGGTTCTGTGTGGAACCACACATGTTCCCATGGAAACTCTGCTTCGCAGAATCCTCTGGAAATTGTTGCTGAGGAGGGGCCGCCGCTTCCCACACCTATTTTGTGTTCCTGGGTTTGGTTTCCAGGGATGGTTTTTCTCAAGCAAGCACCGAGAGGAGAAGGGGCAGAGCGGGGGAGGGGCTGGAGGCTGAAGCCGGAGGGAAGGGGCAGCGCGGGCCATTTCTGAGTGGCTGCCCCAGAGAGGCCTTCGGAGATGGAGGGTGTCAGGAGTAGCTGAACCGTTTCAGACGCCCGAGACTCTGCAGGGGGAGACCCGGGAGGGCAGGCAGGCTCTGCTGAGGGCCGGTAGGAAATCCCCGTCAGAGCCAGGCAGGCCAGATTGAGACCCTGATGGGCCCGATTGCCCCTCTGAAGGGGTGCCTTGGGGCAGGGTCTGGGTGGGAAGAAGGGGTGCCCGGGGCCTGGCCCTCAGGGGTGGGGGGGGAAGGGGGGCTTCTGCCCAACCTAGGCCCGGGATCCACCCTCAGGATGCTGCCATCCACCCTTCGGGTCTGAGGCTCCCCTCACCCGGGTCTGACCTGTTCCGGAGGGACGCCTGTTCCTTGTTTAGCGGACCCCCCTCCACACTGTTCTGCAATGGCCTGTTTTTCCTGGAAGATGAGTGGAGAGGAAAATGCACACCCTCTGAGCCTCTGTAGGAGCAGAGTTCCCTATCTGTCCTCTCTGAGCCACACTGAGCGGTCTTGTCACTGCAGCCGAGGCTCAGGAGGTCATGGCCGCTGGGAGGTGGAGCTGGGGTTCGAGAGAGGCCAGCAGCCACCCAGCCCCAAGGGGCTCCAAGTACGGTTCTTCCCTCCTCCGCTCGTTCAGAGTCCAGAGTCCACACAAGCCTGCCCTCAAGGAGTTCAGTTGGAAGCCCTCTCTGTCCCCTCCTCCTCCCTTACTACCACCTGCACCCCCTGCAGGAATCTGCCACCCCTTGCCCCTGCACCAGCCCATCAGACTCTCAGTCCTGCAGGTGAAGGGACAGGTGCTCAGTCTTCCTTGCTCCGCGCTGGGAGTCCCAGGATATTCTTACCCACCCCCCACCTTGACCCTCCTCCTCCCTGCCTCTCTGCCTGCTCCTTGGAGACCTCAGCACACTGCCAGTCTTGCCCCCACTTGGCCACTATGTTGGCAATGGCTGTGTGTACAGAAGGGGGACAGTTTGGTTCTGAAGGGCCTCACGGGCCATGGGGAGGAGTTGGGACTTTGTTCCAGTGAGGTGGGCACTGTGGAGCAGGAGGAGGGATGTGATCCCATGCAGGTTTTTTTTGGGTTTTTTTTAAGATTTTTATTTGTTTATTTCAGGGAGAGAGAGAGAGCATGAGCAGGGAGGAGGGGCAGAGGCAGAGGGAGAAGCAGGCTCCCCGCCGAGCAGGGAGACCGACGGGGGGCGGGGGTGCTCAATCCCAGGACCCCGAGAACATGACCTGAGCCGAAGGCAGACGCTTAACTGACTGAGCCACCCAGTCGCCTGCAGGTTGTTTTTTTTTTTTTTTAAGATTTATTTATTTATTTGAGAGAGCGAGCGAGTGCATGGGAGAAGGGCAGAGGGAGAGGGAGAGAGAAACTTTAGCAGACTCCATGCTGAGCGTAGAGCCCAATGGGGGGCTTGATGCCATGACCCTGAGATCAAAACCCAGAGATCATGACCCCTAGATCACGACCTGAGCCGAAACCAAGAGTCAGACGCTTAACCACTTAACCGACTGCGCCACCCAGGCGCCCTGATCCCATAAATGTTTTATCTGGATGCCCACAAACTGGTGGCCCGGTACTGCTCAGGGCCAGAGTCGGGGCCCCTCATTGTCCCTGGACATGTTTTGTGCGCAAGGGCCCCTCAAGGACCTCTGGGGCAGCCTGGGGGTGGGAGGGAGGATTTTACAAATGAGATAGTAGAAAGCAGCAGGGTTGGGGGAGAGCAGAGGAGGGAAGGAGCAGAGCCCCACAGCCTGGGTGATTCCCCACCCTCAGCCCGTCTGCCTGTGAAATGGGTTCCAGCAGGGCTGCTGAGAGGGAGAAATGAGCACTTGAAGCCGCAGAAATGGCTCTGTTCAAGCATCGAGGGGCCGCCGTCTGCCTAGGGCCTGAGCTCCAGCAACACCAAGGAGCCTTCCACCTGTCAGAGGAGCCCCAGGCACCAAGCCCTGCAGCTAGACCGTGTGAGGGAGGAGGGGTCCTCAAAGCCCTGGGCTGGGTGCACAGGGTCGACCAAGAGAGGAGGGGGGTGGGGTCCAGGTAGGCCAGACTGGGGCTCTGGGGGACTGGGCCTCAGGGGGGGGAAGGAGGAGCAGCTGAGGCCTGGAGGATGGTGGCAGAGGTGACAAAGCAGTGAGTACAGATGGCCAGGCTGATGGGAAACAACCTTAGGGTCCTTGTTGGAGGATGGAGAGCTTCAGGAGGTTCAGCCCATTCGGCCAGCGTCTCCCCATTCCCTGCCCCAAACATGCCAGATCTCCTTCCTCGCCCTCCCGGCTTCAGGGCCCCAGCCTGATGACCGCCACTCAGCCACCTCCTGGCCCCTAGCTTCATCCCCAAGCCCAGCCCAGCCTCTGCACAGCTCCCCTCTGGCCCACAACCCCTACCCGCCCCTCCTAGCCCCCTGCTCCACTTCGCATGGCTGCCCTGTGCCTTCGACCCAGCCGGGCGGGGGGCATTTTTGTAACTGTTCCTTTCTGTGTTCCTGCTGATGCTCGTGCTCACAGCACTGACGAGGGCCCCTTGCCGGGAACCTCCTGAGGAGCTTGTGGCTGGCCTTACAGTCTGCGGTACAGGCTGGTGCCGAGAGAGCCGGTGGATCTTGAGAGAGTGAAGAGGGCTTGGGGAGGGGTGGTGTCCGAGAGAGTCCATGGAGTCTGGAGGATGGGCTGGCAGGCTGAGGGAAGAGCCCGGGCAAAAGCCAGATGCAAGATGCTCAGTGGGTATGCCTAGGGCACAGAATGGGGGGTAAGGGGCACACCCAAGGCTGGGAACACCTTGAATGTGGGGGCAAGGTGATGGGGCACCCCAGGGGCCTCGCTCCTGGTGCGGGGCCAGCCCTGTGGAGGGAGGGGCTGCCGTGGGGCCTTGGGTCCAGGGCCAGATCTATGCGCCAGTGGAGCTCGTCCTAGAAGTTTTCATAGACCATGTTATTAAATTCGCTGTCATCTGTAAATCCGTGCGGTTTCTTCTGTGAAAAGAAAGAAAAGAACAGAAGGAAGGAAGGAAGAGAAAAACAATAGGAAGAGAACAAAGTTGCACTAATTTAGTTTTAGTCAGAGGCCAACAGACAGCTCCCTGCATGGCTTTGACAGGGGACAGTCCTTGCCCCCAAGGCCTCCCCGCCAACCTCTTCTCCCTCCATTCTACCCACCCTGGCTCCCTGCCCTCCAGCCCCTCGGGCCTCCGCACAAGCTCTTCCCTCTGTCTGGGGAGCTCCCCCACCCCCACCTGCTCCCCAGCTACCCCCTACTCCCCCTGCAGGGTTTGGCTCAGCGTCCCTGGGAGCCCCCTCCCCTAGCCCTAGTCGGGTGCCTCTTGGCAGCACACCCCTCACAGGGGGCTGCAAATGCCTCTGTTTGTTGGGTCAGCACCTGTTCTTGCAGACCCGAGGCTCCCGGGGGGCAGTGCCACATCCAGCCATCCTGGCCAGCCCCACAGGACTCGGCACAGGGCGGACACTGCCTAGGACGGCCCAGACATCCTTGGGGGTCTCAGCGTGGGGAAGCCCTGTTTCCAGTCAGGGCCAAGTTCAGGGCTGAGTATAGAAACGGCTTTGAGGAGAGTCAACAATGTCATCCTGGGCCCCCTGGGCTGGGGAAGGCCAAGTACCAGCCCCCTCACTTCCTGACGCCTCTTCCAAGGTGTCCGTGGACCCACCCACCACCCGTTGGCTCCTGTACCAGCTTGCTAACCCCTTGCACTTTATGGTGCCCAAAGCTCTGGTGCAGACATACTTAAGCCGGAACTCGTTTGAATTCGGGGCAGCTGGTTTTGCAGGAAAGTGTCACTCATCCCCTTAACAGATGAGCAAACTGAGGTTCAAGAGGGAATCACAATCAGGTGATATGCCTCGGCCCCCATCATGATGAGAACAGAGGCCGGACTGGGCCAGCCCAGACTCTAGCTTCCACCTCTAGCCAGTGTTAGCCTGGGGACAGCCGGAAGCCTCGCAACACCCCCTGCCTGCTTGGCCAGTGTAGACACTGCTCACCCTGCAGAAGCACCTACTGGCCCCAGGACAACATTTAACCTTCCTGGCAAATCTCTGAGCAGCATGCAGTTACAGAGGGGACTCGGGCTCGGAGGGGAGCCCCTTGGCTGGGGTTGCACTAGGAAGGGATGGAGCAGGGTTTCAGACCCTCCAGTCCTCCTAACCGCTGGGCCACCTGTCTAGGGGAGAGGGCTCGGACTCAGCCGCAGATGGCTCACTCCTGTGGTCCTATTTACCCCCATTTTACAGATGAAGAGAAGGTGCGGATGGAACAAGAGGAGGAGCCAGGCATGCTGCCCGCCCCCCCCCCCGCCCCGCATACCTGGGAGTGGAGGCTCTGGGTGGTTGGCAGGCTGCTGGCCTCGTTCTGGATGCAGGAGTAGATATCAGTGTCTCTGCGCTGTAGGGCCTGTGGGAGAGGGCGAGGGTCAGAGGAAGGTGGACCGAGGGGCAGGGAGAGGGTCCCAGCAGCCAGGCCTCCCTGTTGATCACCCCTGCCTGCGGGAGCCCAGGGAACAGTCAGAGCCCTCTGGTCCGCAGCCTGTGAGGGGACGGCCACATTGCCCCGCCACGTCACGCAGCACCACATTGCCACACCTTTGTACCTGCCCTCCTCTCTCGCAGAGTCACCTTGCCCTGTCCCTGCTCGTTCAAGGCAACTCCTCTCTGCACTCCGTCGCCTGCCTCATACCATCTCGAGGCTCTATTAGAGTCCTGTGCTCAGCCCGGGTGGGCCCTCCCCATCCTTCTACCTGGCAGCAAGAGGAGGAGCCCAGGCGAACTCCCACGGTCCCACTGTCCTTAGGCCCTCAGGAACCTGGCTGCCACATCCCCAGCCATGACATCGTGGCCATGGCTCCAGTAGGACGGCCTCCTGGCATCTGTCCTCACTCCCGGGTCCAAAGCTCCTGCCCCTGTGAGGGTCCTGGCCACCCATCCTCCCCTCTAGGACTCCTTTGACACCCCCACCTCGGCCCGCGGATGACTTAGGCACCCACTGGGGTCACACACCTCTCCCATCAAGCTATACCTGGTTTGCCTCTGGGCCACCAAACTGACAGTTTGCTTGGCACATTCGGACAACGGCCCATACAAACTATGAGCTCCTTGCCCACCGGACTGCATGTCTTGGGGCCACACTCACTCTTGGCCCAGCTATGAGCAGCCTGATCAGAGGCCTCAGGAGGGTAGAAAGAACCAGGCTTTGAAATCAGACAAGACTAAGCTCAGCTCTCAGCTCTGACACCTGCCAGCCCAGGGCAGCCCCTGAACCTCTCTCCATCTCCCCATCTGTGAGATGGGAATAATCATATTTCTCTTGCAGGTTCGAAGCATGATTAAATGAGATATTGTATGTGAAGGGCCCAGCTCAGGGCTTGGTAAATAGTAGGCGTTTAATAACTGCTGAATGATCATCAGTTGAATGATCCTCAAGGGGGAGCCTGATGCCTCCCTCCCCTCCCTGCGGTCACAGCCTGGACCCTCCTTCAGACTCTGTCGGGCACCCGGGTCCCGTGCAAGGAGCAAATGCCGTTCTTTGGAGTTGTCAGAGCAGAGCCACCAACAGCCTAAGCAAGAGGCAGGAACCTTCCCTTCCCTCGTGTACTTGTCATATGGATGCCGGCTGGTTGCCAAGGAGGTGGTTTCCCTGGCAACAGGCAAGCAGGGGTTGCCGAAGCAGGCTGGAGAGACAGGTGGTGCTCTGAGGCAAGGGGAGGGGGTGGGGAGGGGAGGAGGGAGGCGCTGAGAGGCAGCGGTGCATGAAAACCCGTGTAATAAACCATTGGCGCTTGGGAGACCCTCACTTCAAGGGCATCACACACAGAGATGGCTCGGCAGCCCTGGGAATCAGTTCAAGGGGCCCTGAGTCAGAAAGAGGGTGGGTCTTGGGAGAGGGGCTTCTGACCTCCCTCCGGGTGGGGAAGGGGACAGGACTGCCCTAAGGTGAAGCCCCATCTTCAGTAGAAGACAATGTCCAGGGCCTGCTCTGGCCTATCGGGTCTTCACGCCTGCCCAGCGTGCCAGCAAGCCGGGTACGCAGAATAGACATCCGCTGCTCAGCAGCCCTGCGCCCCCACCCCCTGCCCGCCCGGACCTGGAGACTTGCACAAGGCAGCCCCTCCAAACTGTACACATCTGGTCACAGGGTGAAGGGAAGAAAGGGCCTCCTTGCTGACACCTCAGCAGGGGATCTGGGGTCCGCAGGTGGTTCCCTTCTCCCTCATGTCCGGCTCACATGGGCCGCCTGTCGCACATTAGCCCACAGAGGCTCAGAGATGTCTCAGGTCACACAGCCTCACGGTGGTGGAGCCAGGATTGAGACTCGGCCCTCCTGCCCCAGCTCTGCGCGCTCCCACTGGGCTGGACAGTGGCTAGGGGATCTCTGAGCTAGTGAGGAGCACCAGGCACTGGGACCGCATGGGCCTCTGACCCACGCTGGCGGCTGGCCATGCTGAGGGCAGGAGCAGCTGTGGGGCTAAGGACAGGGGAGGCTGCAGAGGCCACAGCCCATTAGCAGCTGCGGAGTGAAGCCTTTGACAAGGCCTGACCTGCTGGGCTGCATTTGCATTCAGGGGGTGACCTGCATCACTGGGCTGTGACCTGCCTGGAGGCCTTGTCAACGGGACACCCTCTGAGGCTCTGCACCAGACCCTCCTGGCCTTCCTTGGTGGTGATGGGAACTGCCTCCCTCAGGGTGTGCTTGTTGGGAGAAGACTGCCCTGGCCTCTGAATGGGCTGCACTGGGCTCGGCTGGATGGGGCTGTGTTGTATCAGGCTGTGCTGGGCTATGCTCTGGGCTGGGCTGGGCTGGGCTGAGCTGGGCCGGGCTGGGCTGGGCTGGGCTACACTCTGGGCTGGGCTGGGCTGGGCTGGGCTGGGCTGGGCTACACTCTGGGCTCAGCTGTGCTGGGCTGGGCTGGGCTGGGCTACGCTCTGGGCTGTGGTGGGCTGGGCTGGGCTGTGCTGGCCTAGGCTGTGCTGACTGGGCTAGGCTGGGCTGGGCTGGGCTGCACTCTGGGCTGGGCTGGGCTGCACTCTGGGCTGGGCTGGGCTACACTCTGGGCTGGGCTGGGCTGTGCTGGCCTGGACTGTGCTGACTGGGCTGGGCTCTGCTGGGCTCTGCTGGGCTGGGCTGTGCTGGGGTACACTGTGGGCTGGGCTATACTCTGGGCTGGGCTGGGCTACACTCTGAGCTAGGCTATGCTGGGCTGGGCTGGGCTGTGCTGGCTGGGCTGTGCTGGGCTGGGCTATGCTGGGTTGGGCTGTGCTCGGCTACACTCTGGGCTGGGCTAGGCTGGGCTGAGCTGGGCTGGACTGTGCTGGCTGGGCTGAGCTGGGTTGGGCTGGATGGGCCTGTATTGTATCAGGCTGTGCTGGGCTCTGCTGGGCTACGGGCTGGGCTAGGCTAGGCCTATTTGTCTGGGACCCAGGTCCTCCAAGTCCTTTGCCTCCTGCCGCTCCATGGGGAACAGCGCTGACCCAAATGGCTGTCAGCCCTGACAGAGGTGTGAAGTCAGCGGCAAAGCCTCCATCTAGCCCAGCTGAAGCCAAAGCTTCAGTCAGCTGCTGTGGGCCAAGACCTAATCTGAGGGTTCTAGACGTTGGTCCCCCTGTAAGACCCACCCCCCTCCCTGTGACCAAGGAAACACAAGAGCTCACTCTCGTGGGCACCCACACATAGAGACTTGTACAAGGCACCCCGGGGGCGGAGGGGTGCAATTTGGGGGTGCTGTTTGGAAAGGAGCGGTACTCGGCGGAGAAGAAGTAGGGCAGGGTCCTGGCACGTCTGAAGGGAGCCGCCCGTGGTGGGGGCCGGAGTCTGGGAGGCAGGGCTGGGGTAGCCGTCCAGTGAAGGCTGCACGTGCCAGGCTGGAGAGCCGGGAGCGGGGAGCCCCTGGAGGCTTCTCAGTGGGAAGCGACTGCACTGGCGGTGTGTCAGTGAGGTCCCCCCGCTGCAGTGAGCAGGAATGAGGGTAGCAGGACAGCCAAGGCTGGAGCAGAGTTGAGGGGAGGCATCCAAGTGCCGCTGAGGGAGAGTGACCCCACAAAGCTGATGCCCCACGTGTGCCGTGGTGTGCCCCGGGGTACCCAGCCTGAGCCCAGCACGGAGCGCCACAGAAACCCAAGCAACTGGAAGGTAAGAAGGGCCCTCCACTTGTCCATAGGGCCCTCGACTGCTGAGCACCTACCGTGTGAGACAAAGCACAATCACGAAAGTAAGAGGTGGCCATAAGGGCCATGGAGGGGGTGCGAAGCTTGCAATTTTAGAGGGGAGCTCAGGGAAGACCTCCCTGTGAAGGTGCCATCGGAGCAGAGCTTGAGGAGTGAGGGAGCGGCCTGTGGACAGCTGCAAACAGCAGAGGGCGCGGCCAACACCACGGCCCCATGGCGACGGCATGCCTGCTGTTTGGGGAACAGCAAGGAAGCCAGCGAATGACAAGAGGAGATGGGGCTGGGGTGTGGGGAGCTCAGGGAGGCTCTGTGGAGGCTCTGACGTTGACTCTGAGTGAGGCGGGGACCTTCAGAGGCCCACAGCAGCTGTGAGAATGTGCTTCATGGAGCTCCAGCTCCAGGGACCAGGACTGACCAAGGGTCCCAGCTGCTGGGCTCTGGAACCCACCATCATGGGTGCATGGAGGCCAGAGGCCCTGTGCACAGCGGGGATGCCAGCACAGCCTCCCACCCCGGGAGACAGAAGACTTCTCTGCCGTGGGCACTCCTGGGCCTTGCTGAGCCTTCCTTAGACTGCGTGGCATCGAGACTCCCTCACTCAGGACCAGCTCTACTTTGGTCTGACGGCTCGCCCAGCCTTCCCCATTTTCCCTCCTAAGTGCTTTCCCTAATAAGACAATTTCGGGCTCACCCCAGCTTGGTGGCTGCTTCTCGGAGGACCAGGACTCAGCAAGGGCTCTGAGCAGAATGAACGGAATCTGTGCTTGAACAAAGTCACTCTGGCTGCTGCCCAAGGGCAAGGAAAATAATAAGCCAGCTGGGGGACGCCTGGGTGGCTCAGTCAGTTAAGCATCCGACTCTTGGTTTTGGCTCAGGTCCTGATCTCAGGGTTGTGAAATTGAACCCCTCATTGGGCTCCATGTTCAGCACAGAGTCGGCTAAAGTTGCGTCCCTCTCCCTCTGCCCCTCCCTGCACTCGCGCTCTCTCTCTCTCTCAAATAAATAAATAAGTAAATCGTAAAAAAAAAAAAAAAAATAGGCCAGCTGACCAGAAACCAACTGCAGGACACCAGGCAGGAAATGGTGGTGGCTCCCACCAGCATTAGCACTGGAGGGGTGTGAGGGGGTGGGGAGGGATATGCTTTGAAACAAGATGTGCTGACAGGTCAGATATGAGCAGGGATGGAGGGAAGGAAAAGACAACTTCAAATGCTCAGCCTGAGCAACTGGAAGGAAGGAGCAGTCAGTCCCTGCAAAGAGGACTATGAGTAGAGGCCCCTGGGTTGGTAAAGAATTAGAGGCTGGTCTGAGAGAGAAGGCAGTGACTCGAATGGAATGACTCTGGTGTTCAGAGGACGTGTCTGGCTAGAGACAGAAACAGGGGAGTTCTCAGAATGTAGATGTTCTCAAGCCTTGAGGTTGAATGAGATTCTCCAGGGAGGGGATGAAGATCAAAGAGGAAAGGTCCCAGGACTGGGCTCCGATGTTCGGAGGTCGGAGTTCCACTGGTTCCTAAGGAAGAACCAGGGGAAGGAAGCTAAGGAGGCCTAGTGGTGAATCGGGGGCAGGGGCATCAGGAGGGTGTGGAATGTTCCAGGAGCAAGTAAAGAAAGTGTGTCAAGGAGGAGAGAGAGCTTGATAGTGTCAGATGCTGCTGATTCATCAAAGGAGATGAGGGCCAGGAACTGACCGTTGGATTTAACAACGTGGAGGTCGATGGTGACCTTGAGAAAGAAGATTTTGATGAATACATGGGCAGAAAGCCTGACTGAGTGGGTCAGAAAGGAGAGAGGAAAACTGAAGACAGTTGTGACATTTCTGTTATGAGTCGTGGAGAAAGGACAGGGTCGCCAGAGAGGGATGTGGGCTCAAGAAATACAGGATGGAAGAAATTGTAGCATGTTTGCAAGTTGTAAATGCAATATTCTACTGTTAAGCCCTATTTTACAGATTATGGAACAAAGACTCAGGAAGTTTAAGTAGCAGAACCTATGAGCAAAAGAACTAGGCTTTGAACCCCAGTCTGTCTGACCCACTCCAAATCCATGCCCCTTAATAGATCACTTTTAAAAAACAAATTGGATTGGCACAGCTTTTTTTTTCATGTCACAATATGTCATGAACATTTTCCCACATGAATAAGAAGTAAAATTTGATATAATTAAAAGGAGAAATAAACAAATCTACAATCATTCGGACAGATTTAACTCACTTCTCTTAACATCTGATAGACAAAAAAAAAAAAAAAATCAATAAGGTTAATGAAATATTTTAAACAACATGATGAACAAACTTGACCTAATTGGTGGGTGCCTGGGTGGCTCAGTGGGTTAAGTGTCTGCCTTTGGCTCAGGTCATGATCTCAGGGTCCTGGGATCGAGCCCTGCATCAGCTCCCTGCTCAGCATAGTCGGCTTCTCCCTCTCCCTCTGGCCCCTCCCCACTGCTCGTGTGCTCGCTCTCTCTCTCAAGTAAAGAAAATCTTAAAGAAAAAAGAAACTTGACCTAATTGACATATATAGAACACTTAGTCAGCCATGCACAATGCAAATTCTTTGCAAGTGCACACGGAATACAAGCTGAGCCACAAAGCAAGTTTCAAGACTTCAGAGGATTGAAATCATACTGAATATATTTTCTGATCACGGTGGAAGTAGCAAGAAATAAGAAAGAACAATGACTAGAAAGTAATTAAACATTTGAAAATGAAGCAAAATACTTTTAAACAACCCATGGGGCAAGGAGGAATTCTCAACAGAAAGTTTAAACTGAAAGATAGTGAAAAGACGATCTATCAAAACTTGTGGGATGCAGCTAAAGCCTTACTTAGAGGGAAGGTCATAGACTTTAATGCATAGATTCGAAAAGAAGACAGATTGAAAAATCAATGATCTAAGTATCCATCCGAAGAAAGTAGAGGAGGAATGTACAAAAGTCCTTTTCCGGAGACTGGGAACAAGGCAAGGATGCCCACTGTCCCCCTTCCTACTCACCATCCCACTGGAGGCCTGAGGCAGTGAGAGAAAGGAAGAAAAAGGAAATAAAAGTATGAGGACAGGAAAAGAAGAAATGGGACTTCCATTATTCATGCGTGTGACATGAATAGACTGAGTTCAGAGAAAATCCAAAGGGATTTGCAGAGACCTATTAGGATTAATGAATGAATTCAACAAAGTCACTGGATACAAAGTTGATACACAAAAACCAATCATATGTCTACATACCAGCAATAGACAATCAGAAAATAAAAGTGAACTGGGGACATCACCTGTATCCTCAATCCCTCATACGAGGATCGGTGAGATAGCAGGTGTAGACTCCTACTGCAGTGCCTGGCACATCGTAGGCACTCGACAAAGGCTCCTGACGTCATTACCCCTGTTGTTAATGCCATTCTTATCTGCCTCCCTTCACGCCTCCTTTCTGTTCTGAAATCTCTTAAAGCCGCCCTGCAACTCTGCAAGGCAGTTGAGCCTCTTCCCCACACTCCAGAGAAGTCTGCCTGAGCCTCAGAGACGTCTAAACACGGGCAGGAAAGACGCCCCATGCAGGAAGGAGTGAGTCTCTTCCATTAAAAGTGCTCTTGTAGAAGGGTATTTATTCGTGTAGAAAGATGTTCTTGAGATACTGTAACGTGAACAAAAATAGCTGTATTACTCAAAAAAAATGTGTGTGAGTGTGTGTAGGGGTCTTTTTGTGTGTATTTATAGAAAAAAGACTGGAAGATCTAGAAGACAATGTTACTAGTATTTATCCTGGAAGATAGGCTTGGATGATGGTTATTTTCTTTATATATATGCATACATATATGTATATGTATTTATATAGTATATAGATCTATAGATCTATAGATATGTCTATCTATATCATATATATTATATATATGTGTGTGTAGGTATATATATAGAGAGAGAGGGAGAGATCTCACGTGTGTGTGTGCGTGTGTGTGTGTGTGTGTGTGTGTGGAGAGAGAGAAATGTTTTTATTCAACAGCTGACACCAGAATTCCTCACAGGGAAAATAGCATGAGTTTCTGGGAGAGAAGAGAGAATATGGGGAAATCTGAGGCCACGTGGGAAGCAGTGGCTGGTGGAAACCCCCAGGCTGGAGGGGAAGGCTGTCCGAGGGCTGGCCGTGTTGCGTTCTGTTTGGAGTTGCTGGTTCTGTGGTGACATCCGCTTTGCCTCATCCCCATTGGTCCCTATCCTCAGTAAACAGGGTCATATTCCGAATGCCCTCGGTGTGGACTCGAATTTCGTGTGTGTCTGGGTGGTGGGGACAGGAATGGTGACAGCACAGACAGGCAGAACCCTCGTGCAGGGGCAGCCCTCGAACGCGCCCCCGGGAGAACCCGCAGGTCCCCGGCAAGGCTTCGCACCTGCCAGGTGTGGAGCCAAGATCCTAACCTGGTGGCTCTAGAGCTCACAGAGTTAAGACCCCAGCTGACACTGGGTGGTATTTATTCTTCACTTTCTCTACAATGAGCATATGCTCCTTGCGGAACTAAAACACACAGAACTGAAAAAGAATGTTCATCACCCTCGCAGCCGCTGGGCGAGGGCAGGGGGGCTGCGTGCTGGCTGGTGGGCGGGCTCACACCCAGGGCACCAGGCTGAGCCTCCCTCAGGTAAACACGGAGACAGGTGCAGCGACAGGAAATGCTTATGACACGACATCCCGGGCCGGGCCCTGTCTCTGTTTGAGTTTAAGGATAGAAAACAAGGTCTGCGTGTGGGGTGGGGGAGGTGTGAAGAATTGAGAAGCGGTGAATGTGTTAGGACTTATGATGGTGCCTGACCCTTTCCTTTTTCTGCGATTTCTTGTTGTTGCTGGGATGTTGCTTGTGTAATCCAAACAGGAAGGGGTTGGTGAGCTGGTCAACGTCATTCGGTTGGATGAAGGAACTTTCTTCATGCCTCGCTGCCCCTTGTTCCAGAAGTGGAGGGGTGATTTGGGGAGTTGGGGGGGGCCCGGGGGCACCTCACAACTACCTGCCGGCCGGGGGCCAGGGGCCACACACATGTTCATCTTCACGGAAATTCCACCAGGTGGAAATTCTTGTCCCCAGTTTGCAGACAAGGAACACGGCTGGTACCTGACCCAGCCAGGGAACTGGGCCCTGCGCCAGACCTGAGAGAGGCAGAGGGAGCGTAGGCCCCGAGACTCACCGTGTAGACGGATTCGTCCGGGGGCTGCTGCTGGCTGTGGGCGCTCGGGTCCGAGTGCTTCCGAGGAGCCTGCATCCTCTTCTGTGAGGAAAGGAGTCTGTCAGGGCCGGGGATGGGTGGCTCCCACCCCACAGACCCCACCAGGGCAGAGAATGGCAGATTGTCAGGAGGCCACTCAGCACCTCGTCCCCACCCTCCCCAAGGAAACGTGGCAAATGCGTCCGAGACCCACATCACGCCACTCATCGGCCCGCACAGACCGGAAATGGTAGAGACTGCCATGAGGCTCGCCCATGGACACAGTGCCTGGCTCAGGGACACGGTGCCAGGTGCCAGGGTGCCAGGGTCCCCGGCTGCGGAGCTGCCTGCTGGGGGTGGTCCTGAGCAAGTGCCAGCCAGACCAGGTGGTCTGGTCCCCCTCTGCCCCTGCCCCTCTCCGGGCCTCCATTTCTTCAGCAAGGAACCCTCCTTCACGAGATTGTAGCAAGGATTCAGGGAGGTGACTAGGCGATAAATGCGTGGCCCTCAGGTGGCACAAGGTGGCCCTTGGCCGACGAACACACCCTTGTCAGCCACCTCTGGTTAGCCAGGTGGTGTGGAGAGGTGGACGCCGGCCCTGCCTGCCTGGGACTGAGGGCCTAGTGGGGAGACGGGGGGCGAACATTCAGTTTGACTAAAGTATGGTTCATGCCCTGACCGACAGGACAGAGCCCCTGGCACACTCTGAGGGACAAATGCCTCACCTGGCAGAAAGAGGTGTTTATTTTTTTTTTTAAGATTTTATTTATTTATTTGAGAGAGAGAGAGGGAGCATGAACAGCGGGGAGAGGGAAGAGAAGACCGCCCGCGGAGCAGGGAGCCGGACGCGGGGCTCGATCCCGGGACCCTGAGATCACGACCTGAGCCGAAGGCAGACGCTTCACCGACTGAGCCACCCAGGCGCCCCGGAAAGGAGTGTTTAAAACCTAAAGGCTGGGTGCCTGGGTGGCTCAGTTGGTTGAGCGACCGCCTTCGGCTCAGGTCATGATCCTGGAGTCCCGGGATCGAGTCCCGCATCAGGCTCCCCGCTCGGCGGGGAGTCTGCTTCTCCCTCTGATCTTCCTCTCTCTCATGCTCTCTACCATTCTCTCTCTCTCTCTCTCTCAATAAATAAATAAAAATCTTAAAAAAAAAAAATAAAACCTAAAGGCTGAGGAACACCTTTGGCAAGAGACGGAGGGGAGGCGGAGGGACCCGAGTGCCAAGACCTAAAGGTCTCGAGGAACCTCCAGACAGTCGACGTGGCCAGAGCGAGGGGGAAGCGTCCCGGCTCGGGGCCCAGCTAACAGCGTGGACGCCGGAAGGCACCTGAGCGCCTCACGCAGGAGCGGCCCGGAGGGGCCGGCGTCAGGAGGCTCCTGGCGGCCGAGGCAAGGCTCTGCCGGTGGCCGTGGAGGCAGGGGCGCTGGGCCCGTGGGGAGGCACCGGGCTCCGGGAGATGGGCAGCTCCTTCCGAGGCAGAGGGAGGCCTCCCGGTCACCCCACCTCGCGCAGGCACCACACTGCCAACCGCGCGGCCACAGCAGCCTCATCTCCGGGCAGGAGCTAATTAAAACTCCTGGCCGCCTGCCCATCCCCAGCCCGTGTACTCGGGATCAGCTCTCCAGGCAGAAGCCAGAACCACCCCAGTCACAGCCTGATCGGGGCTCGGGAGAGGGGGCCTCACCGGATGCCAGCCGGGGCGCGCTCTGAACGCATTACCTGCCCTGTCTCACGTGCTTCCCGACAAGCCTGCAAGGCGAGGCTGCACGTGGTCTCTGTTCCACACTTGAGGACCAGGAGGCTCAGAAAGGGCAGGAGACTTGCCTGAGGCCACAGAGCCAGCCATGGCAGAGGTAGGATTTGAACCCAGGTCTGTGTGATTCGCCAAGATGCTGACCTGACCGTATCCGGAGCTTTCGCCCCTCTGTTTTGTACGAACGGGTGGGTCTCATGGACAGTTAGATAGGTGCTGGCCTCCGTGTGGCACTTTACAGTTTACAAAAACCCCCTGAGACTCGCTCTTAGTGTCATTTAATTCTCTTTATAGCCTGAGGAAGTAGACTTCACAGAGGGGTGAACTGAGGCCTGTCCAGCTAGTCGGATGACTGCCTTCGGATGGAACCCAGGTGTCCTGTTCCAAATCTAGTGTCCCTCCCCCTCACTGCCTGCTTCCTGAGGCATCTGTCACAGTCAGAGGCCACGGCTCACCTCAAGACAGCTGGGGGGCTGGTGCCTCTCCCTTCGCTGAGCCTGTCGGCCTGGACACTGTCAGGGCTGGCGGGTGTGAGCTGCGGGCAGGGGCTCTTCTGGGCCCTGTGGTGAGCAAGCCAGGCCCGGCCCCGTGGTGCTTCTACTGACACCGGTGGGATTGCAGGGAGGTAAGTGCCACCGTGGGGTTGCGGGAAGGAGCCCCACTACTGCCAGGGGGCGGGGGCAGACTTCTGAGGGCTCGCCCTGTCTCCCGAAGATAGGACGAGAGTCTGAGAAAGTGTCGCAGGCCACGGGGACGAGGAGATCGCATGGGGGCAGGAATATCCCTCGTCAGGGACATGCTCAAGGATGGACTGTCAGATAGAAAGAGGCCAATGGGGGTAAAAGGTGAGAGCAGATGAGCCGGGAGGCTGGCGAGGGCACTGCCACAGAAGGCGGGGAGATGAGGCCTGGGCTATGGCCCACAGGGGCTGCCCCCCTCGAAAAATCAGATGGGTTCGTTTTGTTGCAGGGGTGAGGATGCTCCACCCCTTGGAGCCAGCATTGCCCTCCCCGGGTGCCTTGTTCCCTGCCGTTAACATTTGCCCAATTGTGATTTTCAAATGAATAAACCAATCAGTGTGGCCACCGGCAGCTCAGGAAACCTGTAGAGCCTCAATTTCCCCCTCTGTACAATGGGAGCAATACTATCACCTTGCCCACCTCACAACCTGGCCACCTGCGACTCATCTTCCAAGCGCTCCTCAGCGCTCACTTAACTAAGCCATGCCTCCCACAACCATTTAGCATGTGTCAGGCTTCCCCTGGCAAGGGGGGAGACTAAGCCCCTGCCCTCTGGGGCTTAAGTTATAGTGGGTGAAACAGTGGCAAACACATAAGCAAAGGTGTGGGGGGCAGAGCTGGAGGGGACATGAGCGGGAGCAGGGAGACCTGTATTTGGGTGAGGAGTGAGGGAAGCCCTGGGCTGGGGGATGAGGCAGGGGAGAAGGGGCTGGATCCTAGACAGGTTGTGTGCAGGGCTTGCTGCGGGGGAAGACGGAGGAGCCAAGCACAGCTCTAAGGCTTTCGGCCTGAGCATCTGGGGACATGGCGCCATCTGCCTAGGCAGGGAAGACTCGGATGCTATGAAGCGGTGCCAGGGAGAGTGAGCGCCGATGCCCGTGGGCCTCACACGGTGGTCATGGTCTGGGGCTCAGGGAGGGGCCCGGGCAGCGTCAGGGGTGAGGACCGTCACCCCAGGATCAGAGCAATCACCGGGGAGTGTACAGAGTGGGGGGTGCTCTGCGGAAGGGGCCTGAGATGCGCGACGAGCAGAGGCCGCGAAGATGCAGGTGATCAGCACAGGGCTGCCCAGGGGTCCAGGAAACAAGGGAAGAAGTGTGCAGGGGAGGAGGGTGACCTTAGGGGGTGAGGACAGGTCAGCCATCAAAGTCGGAGGCTGCCTGCTCTGGGAAGCCAACTTCAATCCATCCCCAAGCTGGGGGGCGGCGGGTGGGGAGCCCTCTGGCCTGCTCTCATGGCAGGAATCATCTGCCTTTTCTGGGCCAGTAGCTCCCGGCTTCCATTCATTTATCCGCAGCTGCCTGGGCTCCTAGGGTCCTCCGTGCTTCCTCCTCCCTGGTCTTCTCGTCTTGGCCCCCATGGCCTGGTCACTGGCTGGGGGGCCCCCCCTGCGTGCTCTGTTCCTGCATTCAGTTCACACCATGCTGGCCTGTGAATGAAGGGCCACAGGGGCCTGCCCAACTCTGGAGCGGCATCCACAGGGTCCGCATCCCAAATTTGGATCCAGTTCCAGGGAGCTCTGGGGACTTCTCTGGCCTCTGGCCTTCTGAGTTCTCTCTCCTTCAAGGCCAGGCTCCTGCCCCAGCCCTACCCCCTCCCTGTGCAGGGAGGGAAGACAGGAAGCGTCTATGCACTGCACTCCCACTGTGGGTCAGGCACCCAGCTGGTGCCTCCCAAATGCTGTCTCTTCCCCCGCCTTTCCAGGTGAGGGGTGAAAATCCATCCTTAGCCCCATTTCTGGAGGAGGAGAGCAAGGCTCAGAGAGGGCTGTAGCTTGATGAGAGGGCAGGGGCTGCATCTGTCTTGCTTTCCACTGTGTCTGGCACTTAGCCCGGTGCCTGGCATGCACTAGAGACTCAGGAGCTATTCCTGGAAGGAGACAGGCTAGGAGTCGCTGAAGCCGTGCAGTAGGGGGAGCGGCTGGGCTCGGAAGTCAGGCTGGGCTGAGTGTTATCCCCTCCTCTCCTCCTCCCCAGACTTTACTGAGCACCTACTCTGCGCCGGGTGCCTCCCTGACCTTGCAGGACCCCGAGATCCAGCCATGACGATCCTGTTTTTGCAGAGCAGCTGCTGAAGTGAAGGCTCAGGGTCAAGGTCTTGACCTGACCCAATTCTGCCCCTCACCTGCTATGCTTCATACCCACGGAAGGCACCTGTGCCTTCACTCATACAAGCCTGGTGTGGGGGTCCACAGCCCGAGTGTGGGTCCTTCACCACCCCTGCCTGACGCACGGTCTCTGTGTCTACACCCAAGTCCCACTAGATGCTCAGTAGTCGCTGAGTGACAAACAAGTCAAGAGCCGTCCTACCGGGGCGTCTGGGTGGCTCAGTCGGTTAGGTGTCTGCCTTCGGCTTGGGTCGTGATCTCAGGGTCCTGGGATCGAGCCCCATGTTGAGCTCCCTGCTCAGCGGGGAGTCTGCTTCTCCCTCTGTCTCTGCTGCTCCCCCTGTTTGTGCTCTCTCCCTCTCTCTCTCAAATAAATAAAATCTTAAAAAAAAAAAAAAAAAAAAAGAGCTGTCCTACCTGCTACCATCATGGGCAGAGCACCAGGGGTGGGGGAAGAAATATATTGGGGATGAGAGCCAAGCTGGGCATACAGTAGGTGCTCAGCACATGTTGGTTGATGGAGGGAAAGTGGGCCTAGTGGCGGGTGGGTCTCTGTCCTAAACCTGGGATTCATGGGAGGCCCAGTGGAGCGTTTCCCATCATCTTCTGTCTTCACTGCTCAGTTGTCCCCGTGGCCAGGCCAGAGCCAGGGGGCCAAGGACCCCTGCGGGACCTCAGAGCAGTGCCCGCTCCTTGGGCGGAGCAGAGTGGACTCCCTCTGCGGCTTGTCAGCAGAATGAGTCAAACTAGGAACTGGTCACTCCAGGGTCACACCCCACATCTGCGGCGTCCCAAGGAGGATCACAGGACAGGAGAGGAACTAGAGGGGTGGCTGAGGCTGTCACCAGGCTCCGGCTCACAGATGGCGGGAAAGGCAGCCTCCAGAGTTTTATGGCAAATCAAGTGGCCATGTTCACCTTCTTTTATCACCTTGGAGCCTTTTCTGGAAGAGTGATTATGTCTGCAGCCTGAGGCAAGGTGGGAAACTGAGGCCCGGGTCCAAGTCCCAGGCCTGCCGTGTACTGGCCATGTGGCTCAGGCAAGTCCTTCCTCCCGCTGACCTTGGGCTGCCTCTCCCATTCTTCCATCCCACAAGGAGTCTGCCAGACACTCACCTCAGCAGGTCCTGACCTGGAGGCGCCCAGGCTGAGTGGCTCCCTTGTAAGCAGGGGGCTCTAGCAGACTGTATCACCTCCTCAGCGAATCTCACCAGATCCACCTTTGGCCTCTAACCTGCCTTGCTCACCACTTCCCCAGAAGTGCTGTGCCTCGGTCACCTCTGCCTGGACTAAAGCAGTAGCTCCTCACAGAGTCTCCCCCTGCTTCTCACAGCTGCCGGAGGGTCCGTCGGGATCAATCTGACCCTGTCCCACGTCTCCCCACGCCCTGCAGGGCCTCCTGGCTCACTTAGAGTAAATCCAGTCAATGCTCCCTGAACTCAGGCCGCACCACCCACCTGGGGCCTCCCTGCAGTTCCTGCCTCAGAGCACCCATACCTGCTGTTCCCCTGCTGGACACACCCTTCCTAACGTCTGCCCGTCCCCCTTCCTTCCAGGTGTGGTGTGGGGAGGCCCTCCCTGACTCTTTATTAAAACCCGCAAGCTCCCTCATTCCCATACTCATTACTCTCTTCGTTTTGCTGTATTTTCCCCCAACACTTACCACATCCGTTATGCTACTTATTTATATGTTTGTTTATGGTCTGTCTCCCCTCAGCTGGAATACAAATTGGACGAAGGCAGGGATTTCTTGGGGATCTATTTTAGTCATTGCTGTAGCCCCGGGGCCTTAACAGGGCCTGGAATTCAGTAGGTGCTCAATATGGGTTGAATGAGTCAACACATGAAATCCCATCTCAGGGGCCCTTCCCTGGGTGTGGATAGGGACCGGCCCTTTGGGTGCAGGGGCTGAGCCTCTCTTGACCCAAGGAACCCCCATAGTGGTGCAGAGCCCTCTTCCCACACTCAGGGCCTTCGCCAACTGAGCTGCTCCCCAGGCTCGGCCCCTAAGGCTGCCAAGGAGCAGAGGAGCTCTTGGTCCCTAGAGGGTGGGGAGCACTGGCTCGGGCTGTTCCGATTGAGGCTTTCAAGGAGCCAGGACAGGGGTCCAAATTGCAGCCTGGGGCCCTGACAGCCATCTTTGCCCTGCCCCCCCGAAACCGGCAGAACCTGGCACCCACTGGGTAACGCATTCTTTTGCCCAACAAACATCTACTGAGCACCCCCTATGCCTGGGCGTGCACAGGGCACGGAAACAAGCTCACCTCGGCCTCTGTCTTCAGGGCACTTACTGCCTGGCAGGGAGGGCAGGCATCGAACCACCACCCACAGGGCTGGGTGACGAGAGTGACAAGAGCCCAATGGGGAGACAACCCTCCCTGTGTTGGTGGCATTGCAGCCTTGGACCAAACTGCCCCATCCACGTGCACCCCAGCCCTGACTCTGCCACATGCTTGCCGTGTGACCCTGGGCAAGTCACCACCTCTCTGGGCCTCGCTTCCCAGAGTCATAAAATGGAAAGAAACATCCCTCGCAGAGTTACGGTGGGACACAGAGGAGAGCGTGCGGCAGGGTGCCTGGTAGACAGTGGCTCTTAGGAAACACTTCCTCCTCCCATCTGGGGTGCTGGGGATCCAGAAAACCAGGATGGTGCCTCCTAATCCAAAGAGCCAGAAACGGGGCTTGAGCCTTGCACTGAAATACTCAGGAGGACTCGTGGCCTGGAAAAGGCTGACGGGCCCTGGTTTCGTGCAAGATCCAAAGGGACCCGGTGGTGGCAAGCTAGCACCATGGGGGTGGGTGAGGGTGGGGTCCCGGTGCAGGGAGGCCACGAGGAAGACCCCCTCACCGAGGCCCACTGGGACACCGTGCAGGGCAGGCAGGCGGCCCCTCTACTCCTTGGGAGGCACCCGAAGCCAGAGTGAATGGGCTGGAGGGGTGGCGCTGCTGGGCATGCACATCCCCTACCTTCTTCCAGAGCAGCAGCGCTGTGACCAAGATGCTCAGCACACTCAGGATGCCAGTGAAGCAAAAGAGCAGGAGCTGCTGTTCAGGGGCCCTTCGGTCCAGGAGGGAGGAGGCTCCCCCAGGAGCCCCCTGCGGGGGCCCTCGGTACCCTATGTCTAGGAGGAGGGCAGAGAAGCAGAAGGGTTAGTCACCTGATTAAGGCTGGGGCGCACCCCACCCCGCCAACCCCCAGGCCCCCAATCCCTATGATCTCCTTTACCCAGGACTCCACTTACAACACTCCCCCCGAAGGAGCCCCCCAGACCCCCACCCCTACCAAGGTGCTCATTCCCACGCTGGCTTTTGGCTAAGCCCCTTTCTAGGTTGGCGGCCTTGATTCTTGTTAAGGTCAAGGAACACATCTTTTGCTTCTTAAGTGTCCCTGCCTCAGAGTGAACTGGCCCCAGTGAGAGCTGCCTGTGGGACCCCGGGCGAGTCGCGCCATCTCTCAGGCCTTCTGTTTTCCGTGTGTGGAAAGGTGGTCACGTGGGCAGATGTGATGAGGCTGGGGGAATGGGTTTGGCCTGGGCCTAGCAGGTGGCTGGCCTGCACCAGGGGAAGGTGAAGGGCCCAGCCTGGCCCCTTCCCTTGAGCCATCCATCCTTTTCTCTCTCTCTCCCTCCCTCCCTCCCTCCCTCCATCCATCCATCTGGCTGGCAAAAAACTGCCGAGTGCCAACCACGTGCCAGGCACATCCGTGTCTGTTATTTATCAAACATTTCCTATTACCAGACACCAGCCCTTGCACGCAGGATCTCATTCATCCCCATAAAAGCCCTTGACGGGCAGGGTATTGCCATGAAGCCCGGGCCCCTAGCCACATCCGGGCCAGTCCAGCTCCACGGTGTCCCCAAATCCCAGCCCCTACTGGTGGGAAACACAGAGGCAGGTCAGAGCCTCATGGCTTTGCCGATGTTAACTTTTTACAGTCATCACTCCTTTGGGGATGTGATGAAACTAGGAACCTTTCCCAGAAATACGTACATGAGCCAAGTGCTGCCACTGACACACATGTGCATGAGCCCAATTTTGTACTCACCCCCCCAACCCACACACACGCACACACACAAGGTGCCAGAGAGAAGTGCCAGAGACTTCTCTCAGGCACCTGCCAGACGTGGCCAGAGACATATCTGCACCCCAGGCTTCTGCCCTTCCCAAGTCAAGGTAGATGTCAGCATACCTGCGCAGCCAGGGGCTCCCTGAGGACACTTGTGTTTTGCCAAATCTGATAGATGAGGCAGATATGACCCGCTTTATTTATTTATTTTTAAAGATTTTATTTATTTATTTGACAGAGAGAGAGAGACAGCGAGAGAGGGAACACAAGCAGGGGGAGCGGGAGAGGGAGAAGCAGACTTCCCGCAGAGCAGGGAGCCCGACTCGGGGCTCGATCCCAGGACCCTTGGAATCATGACCTGAGCCGAAGGCAGACACTTAACGACTGAGCCACCCAGGAGCCACCCAGGTGCTCCTATTCCCCTCTTATATCCTGTGCTCCAAATTCTGCTGTGTGAAACCTCTGGGTCCTGCAGGAAGCCTCACCTCTGACCAGGATGAAGACGCCTTCGCTGATTCTACGGAAGTCGGGCCAGTCCACGGAGCAATAGTAGGTACCCGTGGCCGATGCATTGGGCAGCTTGGGGGTGACCTCACATTTCAGAGTGTTCTCTTCGCCCAGGTTGGGTGGGCACTTAATCTGCTCGCTGGTGCTCCTCCGGTTCTGGAGGTCCATATAAAAGTACGAGGCTGTGAAGTTCTTGAATCTGGGGCTGTCTTGGTAGGTGATTCTGCAGTCGAAGGAAATGGCCTTGTTGGCCAGAGAGACCAAAATGGGCGCACCAGTGTGGGTCACCGACAGCTCTTCTGCAGGGGAAGAAAAAGGAAAAAGTGGGAGCTTACCCTCCGGGTCGCTTCAGTCCTTTCTACCTCCTCCCAAGGACCTCGGCTCACACTCACACCTTTCATGCAGTCACGGTGTGTGGGCGTTGTGCCAAGTGCTTTACACATAGAACTCTCCATCTCCCAACACACCCAAGGCAAAGTGTGTAAGAGCTCCACTTCACAGAGAGGAAGAACCCGAGGGTCAGGCAGGTCAAGCTGCTAGCTTTCACTCTCTCAGCAGGGACGGAGTCGAGCTACAGCCCCGCCCAAGGCGGGCAGACTCCAGACCCCACAGTCCTAACCACTCTCCTGCTCAAAGGCCAAGAAGCCACATTGGATAAAAGCCCCAGTTTGAGAAGACCCAAAGCTGCTGAAGGATGAGAAGTAAAGAGGAAGGAGGCAGGAGACAAGATAAAGAAACGCTTCCTGGCAGGAAGAGGAACTTCTTGGCAGTGGACACACAGAAGGGAGCCATGGCTCCCCCCAGCCTGAAGGAGGAGGCATGCCAGGCATCAGGAGAGATAAGCCTTGCCCTGAATCGGAGCTCGGAGAAGAATTTGTCAAGTTTTTGTAGACTGTAACGAGCAATGGCCCACGAGCAGCCACGACCAGGGCGTTCGATGACGGTTACAAAGGCAGGTACCTGGGGGAGCCTCCTCCCTCCTGGACACCTGGACACCCCTCCTCATCACAGGCTCCTAGGAAAACAGTGGCACCTGCCCGGCTGGGCCTCCCACCCTCCCGCAGGCTCCCGGAGGCACACAAGCCCGCTCAGCTTCAATATGCCTCGTCCCCTAGCACCTTCCTTCTCCAGCAGCCGAACTGTTCTAAATTGAGGTCGCAGCAAGCAGCCAAGAACATGCCGGCCAGGCTGTTAATCGGGAGAAGATCACGCGTTTGAGTTACTCAGAGGGAGCTGCCAGATTTATTTCGTTGGGGAAATCGAGGGCCCCCTGCCCGGGGTTCAGGCCTGGTGTGAGGCCAGGCTGGACTCGTCTCTGGGCTCTTCCGCTGAGCCCTGCACTGGGTCCCCAGGGGAGGCGAGGCCAGGGCCTCTGGAAGACTTGGGGACAGGACAGAGGTGGCCCTCTAAACCAGTCAGTCCCCTGAAGCTCCGGCCGCACTGGTATTTTGAGCTTCCTGTTGAGTAACTAAAGAGATCGCCCCTCCTCCAAAGAAGGAAGAGCAGTGACATTTCCAGGGAATGGGCTGGATGTCCCAGCGGACCGGCTTCATTGTCCTGCGTGAATATGACGATGCTCACACCTGGAGGAGCCCCTGGGCTGGGACCCAGGGCTCTCCTCTGCTGAGTGGGGCGGGAAGGATTTCACAGGTCCCTGATGTCTCTGGGCGCGACTGCAGGGTGGTCGTTGTGGCTTGACTACAACATTATGTTCATACTTTCCTAAAAACAAGGAGCACTGATTCAGGGCTGAAGCTTGCCTGAGACGCGGCAGCCAGGGCAGGGGTGCGGCGGGTGGAGGAAGGGGTCATTGCGTGATCCCAGGTAAGGAGAAGGGGCCGAGGGCTGAGAAGGACCTGATTTGCCCTCCCCGGCAAGGCCACGCTGCAGTCCTTCCCCCGTCCCCAAAGGGCCACTTCCTGCGTGCTGCATCCACCCCTGCAGGCCCCTCTGCCTGGGACTCCTACCTAGTCCTCCAGACTCAGCTCAGGACCCACTCTGACTTCGAGCCACATTCTCCTGTTTGGCTCTCCAGGCAGCCAGTGCTCCCTGCTGGGGGTCGGGAGGCGGGAACCTGACCAAAACCACCAGGAAAGTGACCACACCAGGGCTGGCACAGAAGGCTCTTCTCCTCCCGCACCGCCCCCCCCCCGCCCCCGGGGCCTCCTGCTTCTCTTCTTGGTGTGTCTGAGAGGCCCGGGGAGACTGCGCACACTGGCCATACTATAAGGCTGTTTGTCCTTCCTGTTTGTCCTGGCAGGAAGCCATCCATCCACTTGTCTCAAAAAACTTTCTGCATTTGAGGTATCCTTCTAGAAAATGATGGAATGTGTTAGTGTGATTAAGCCTATCTTCACAATTTGGGGGAAATCTTTAAAAATAGATGACTGTCGTTCTGTATGCTTCCAGGATTCGTGATTTTAAGGTCGGAGGGTTAGGATCGTGACCACGCACGGCCCCAGCTTGGGTCTGCCCTAGAGGAGAGCCTCAGACCTCGGGAGAAACCACAGTCCGAGTGAGGAGGGAGGCAGTCTCTGTCGATGGGGGAAGGGCAGCCAGTCTGGGGGCAGCAGGTGAAAAGCAAGGAGGAGGAGGCCTGCCATTGCCGAGAAGGAGACTGGTTCTGGCCTGATGGTGCATCCTATGGCCTCCACTGCCCCTTCTTTTTTGGGGGTGTTAGCACCCCAGAGCCTGGACCACCGCAGCCTAGCTCCCACCCCCGTCCTGGACCGTCCCTCCAAGACGCCCCTTCTGGGGTGCAGGCTGGTCCAGCTGACTGCTAAGTACCCCCCCATTAGGGTTCAGTGCTATAGAGAGATTCATAGCAATTCCTGTGTCCACAAATTGCTTGCGGCTACCATTTGTTTACTCCCACAAACATTTAAGGAATACCAGTTAGGTCACAGGTCCCACCCCCGGCCTGGAGGGGCTCCCTGCCTGGCAACAGGGAAGCAGAGGGAGCCAGGGCTGGGAGGGCGGGTGGGAGGGAACCACTAAGCCTATCTAGGGGTGTGGGGGAGCGACATGCTGGTGACCTGGAGGTCTGGAGGTCATCAGTGAACTGAAAGCAGGAACACATATGGACAGCAGGTTAGAAATAGCCCAAGGACAGAAGGGCAAGGAAAGATACAGAAGGCATACTCTGGCTGGGCATGACACAGGCCCATGTCAGCTGAACACCACGACAATCCTTTGAGACAACATTAGCAGTCCCACTGTGCAGACAAGACCCGAGGGGGTCTTGGAGGCGCGAAGCCACAGAGTTCCTAAGTGGTGGAGCGGGATTTGAGCCCAGGCTCGTCGGTGCCGAGGATGTGACACCAGCCCCTGGGCTGAGCAGTGGGGTCAGGGACACAGTGGAGCATGGCCCGACACAGGGCGGGGAGCGTTCACCATGGCACACAGCACAGCAGACATCAGATGCTGAGGACAGGGGTTCGTCAGATTCCCAGCACAAGCCACAGCTTATCCCAGTTGTAGGCCAGGTGGCTGCATGACAGAGAGCAGGGGTGCAGAGAGGCTTGAAGAGGGCTGCAGGGGCCCCCGGCCTGCCCTTTGGGCACCTGCTTCTCACCCCAGACTCAGAGGGGCTCCAGCGGGACCCTCCCAAAGCTTGGGGCATGCCCCCTGAGTGCACGGGGATGGCACAGTGGCTGGTGTCCATCTTGCACCTGGTGGCGGCTGTATCACCATTTGTCCCTTGTTCAAGCCAAGGGAGCAGGTCTCCTGTGGAACAAGGTGGGCCGGGGCAGAGGGAGCCGGCCAGGGGATCCTCTTAGATTCTGCTCAAGGGCCACCAAGAGGGGCACAGAGCCCAGGGAGGAGGAGTGGGGCGGGGGGCGGGGGGGGGGACTCGGATTCCTGGGGCTGAGGAGGGAGGGAGGGAGAGCCATGGGAGGCCGGTTGGCACACCCCAGTGACCCATGGAAGGGCCCGAGGGGGTCCACTACAAACCCCGCGAGTGCCCGGGGCACAGGGCCATCCACAGCCCCTGACCAGCAGGGCTCCTCTGCCTTCTTCCTGCTCCTTCCCTGTCGCTCTCCACCCAGCTGACACGTGGGGAAGGACCACCAGGGAGCCTGGGGGGAAGAAGCCCCTTATTCTCATACAGGTCCCAGACGCCACCTCCAGCGTGCATCAAGTTCAGCCTTTTGGCTGTCACTCTGGTTGGCGATACGAAGAACCAGGGCTTGGTTTTGACCGTGAGTGACCACAGGGCAGAGGCGCCGGAAGAGCTCAGGCTGGCTTGGCTTTCCCTCCAGGCGCCGGGGGGCGTGTCCCCAAGACCAAAGGCCTAAAGGGCCGCAGGAGCAACACAAAGTTGCTCTTCGGATAATTCTCCAGGAGGCGGGTGAGTCCTCCGCGCAGCCTAGGGCCAGACAGGCACAGGGAGGAAAGTGTTGCCAGGAGCCCGGTTTGTTCACTGCAGGGAGATGGATTCACTCAATTCGCAGAGCTCCCTGCCTGAGAGGGAGAAGGGCCTGGAGGCGGCCATGTGCCGTGAGGGCAGAGATGGGGCAGGTCAAGGAGGGATGAGAGAGAGGAATGCCGGATCTCCCATCTGCCCGAGCACACCACTCTTTCCGGGGCAGGTCGGAGAAGGAGAGAAGAACTGTGAAGGGCAGTTCCAGGGGGAGGTTGGGAGAAGTGCAAGCCTGCGCCAATGTGGATGGTGCAGAGCAGAGAAGGGGGCACCCCTGCCTGGAGGGTCAGGTCCATGGAGGGAGGAGGGCGAGGAGCAGGGCCAGCCCGAGATGGGATCGGGAACAAGTCGTAGCATGATGCCTGAGAGGAACCTGCTCCCCGGGGACCCCAACCCAGCCCAGCCCTGCCCCAGAGCTTGGTTACTCATAAGGCATCCTCGAGCACCACCACCCCCCGCCTGCCTCCCCGCAAGCACAGAGAGCGCCACTGGGCAGCTCAGGTGACACGGCTTTGCAGGCGTGTCCTCCATCCCTCACTTCTCAGCAGCTCCAAGGACTGCTAAGAAGCCTGGGACCCTGCCAGGAATATGGGGTCAGGGGGCGCCTGGGGAAAACCTAGTTTCTTGAGGCATCAGGCCTGGGTTTGGACCCTGGTTCTGCCACCCAAAGGCTGTGCAAACTTGGGCAGGTGGCTTTCTCTCTCTGAAGCTTGGTGTCTCCCCTAAAAAAACAGGAGAGCAACGATGCCAACCTGACAGGGTGGTCATGGGATGAAATGGGGCCGGAACATTCTGAGGCAGCCACAGGGCCAGGCTGCCTTTCCGCAGCGACAAGAAAGAGGCAAGGAAGTCAGAGGAGCCCCGAGTCCTCGCTGA